CACATAACTTCTATGGTGGTATGATGGAGTGCTTGGGAGCATTCTGTGGATTTATGGGATCGGTAAGCACTTGCGAAGTCATATATACAGTCAACTCTTTCTATAACGAACTAACGGTTCTGGAAGAAAAAAAAAGTTCGTTATAGAAAATTATACCGAACTCCTATGGAATTTTAAAATTTTGAGTTCGTTATATCCAGAATTCGTTATATGGAGGTTCGTTATAGTCAGAGTCGACTGTATAGTTTTTGTGTAACGTGCGTGAAAGTTTTTTTAACACATAAGTACATAATTAGATTCCATTAATTTGCTGCTGCTTCCCTAACCCTTACAAAAACGTTGAGCAAGGAAATGTTGGACTGATTTCACGTTTTGGTACGTCAACAAAGTTTGCTCAATAATATTATTAATCGTTTGTAATAACCTTTTTTTTTTTTTGTTTATTATAGGTCAATATTACAAAGCCGTTGATCCGGGTTTAGTTAAAGTGAATGTTATAACCGAGGATCTCACAAAGGTTGATATTAAGGTAATTAACTATATGGTTTAATAATCATCAATAAGTATCAATTTAAATTCAATTAAATCTTATATATGTAATCATATATATATTAATTAGATACAAATTACAGAAATTCCAAGACAAGCCATTATGACAAAGGTATATTTATGTTCGTTGGAGAGTTTAAAACTGTTATTCCCAATAATATATTGAATTTTAATCAACTTTCAATTGATCATATTACATCATGTAGGATAATGTATATATCCATATTGATTCTATCATCTACTGGCATATAATCAATCCCTATCAAGCAGTTTTTGGTATAACTGATGTTCGCAAAGCTCTTGTAGAACGGTAGGTATTAAATAATTCTGAAATTGTAATCTTGGAATACAAATGAATTTACAAATTTTACTTCGGTTTTATAGTACTCAAACCACGCTAAGACACACTCTTGGTGGACGTGTTCTTCAAGATTGTATTGAAAATCGTGGAGCAATAGCTTATGAAATTAAAGAAATCATTGATGAGCCTGCTCATGCTTGGGGTGTCAAGGTGTATATATATATATATATCTCCTATTCCATTTCATATAATTCCAATTTATCTAACTGTTATATTTCTTTTAATTCATAGGTTGAAAGCATTTTGATTCGTGACATTGTATTCTCTTCTGAATTACAGGCTTCTCTTTCATCTGCCGCTCAACAAAAGAGAATTGGTGAAAGTAAGGTTATTTTGGCCCAAGCTGAAGGTAAAGTATATTTGTCATATTAACTTTATTGACAAAATTACGTATACTTACAAATGCTAACTATATATTTGGTCCCTTATATGTAATTATTTTCACTTTGGTCCCTTACATGTTATTATTTTCACTTTGGTCCCTTACATGTAATTATTTTCATTTTCGAGCCCTTATATGTAAATCCCCTTTTTTTAATTTGATGAAATTTAAAGTTGAAAAAGCCATAGAAAAAATTCGTTTCTTTTCTATTGACTTACTCCCACATGTTTATTTAAAAACATAAATGATTAGACATTATAATTAAAGTGGTATAAAAAAAATTTTAAACCTAAAAAAATACGTTCAGACTAAAAAGATTGTGCGACATTCTAATTTGATTGTGTATCAGGTATCACAAGTAATGAATAACCGCATCGATATCGATATTGCGTTAAAAAACTACGTAAGAATTTTTAAAGAAATCAAAAATTTAAACAATAGCATCTTAATTTAACCTTTATCGTTATTAATCCTAAATAAAGGCTCACTTATACATCCTAAATTTTTTAATTAAATGAATATATAGTATACCATTTATATATGTTGTGCCCCAAATATAAATTTGTCTCGAATGACGATTGGAACAGCCCAGAAATTATTAATTTAAATAGTTTAAATAAATGAATATTTGGTACAAATTGACAT